CTCGTGGTCTAGAGACAGATCGCTTACGTGAAGTGCTTCTACGTGAGGTGTGTGATCGCTTACGGTCGTTACGAAGATTAAGATAACGCATAAGTGTATGACATAGCTCGGTTATGTCATTCTGAGTCGTTTGATACTTCTCTTTGGCTGAAGAAACCTTGGCAGTAGACGATTTCTTAATTTCTACGGTACGATCTGCAGATGCCGCCAGGTTGTCTAAGACGTTATTCTGAAACCAGACCGGAACCGCTTGCACCTGCTGTGGAAGTTTGTACAAGAAACTTTAACTGAATAGGCCTTCGTCGGAAGTTCTTAGTCCTACAACCTCGCTCATTCTTTGCAACAAGTCCGTCGCAGAACCGTGTTGCAGGTCTGTGTTATAAAGCAGTTGGTCTAACCTTTGTCGATCAGTTAGGTCTCCACGTTTAAGGATAGAACTCTTTAACGTTTCGTACGGTTCAGAAACATCCCTAGTAAACATACTAGATGTTACGTACCTGTTGAATTCCCGCGGTAGTGCCTTGACTACGGCGAGGAATTGTGCACGTGTGTCGTTCACGCCGTGCTCGTGAAAGTCGGCTTCTGCGTAGCAGAACCAGGCTTTGATATTGTCGGGCCAGAAGGGCATGAGTTGGAACGATGGTGGGGACATAGTCTTAATCTTGAATAACTTGGGGCCTGTTCAGTCATAGGGAAATTTTAAGTACGAGAATACACGAGTGAAAAATATATAGATATCCAAAAACGCGTGAAAAATATCACAGTGCATAAGAAATTAAAATAAAGCAATGATATATAGATTAACGAAATGGAACAGACTCACAATTTACGATTTGGTGTACCAGATCACGTTAGCCTCACCAATGAAGATGGCACAGGTATTCAGTGTTTGACAGTAACACCTAATATGAAGCGTACCCACCAAGAGATATCAGAAGACAGAATCGAGGAGATGGAAGATATATTTGTTGACTGTCAATATATCGAGAATGGTTTGATCTTATCTGGCTAGCGATTACAGTAGATGTAGAACGCGGCGTTCCTACACCTCATCTGATGCGGATGCATGACCGAGTGCCTTCAGTTAGATGAGTCCATTATAACTAATGTGATCAGCATCCAATGTCGAAAACTTACAGCTATTTATTTTGCGGATTTATTTACCAATACAAGTCCAGGGAAAGTGGAATTTCTCCAACTTCCAAGCCAAATAAAAGGTTCAAATCGGCAATCCGTACAACTGACGACTCAGTGCCTGACAATGTCGAAACTTTAACTACTGAACGATATGTGTATTGTACACAAATGTCTCTATCATCACCAGATTCTCCATGTCGCAGCCCCTCTATCTCTACGTGCAGTATGCCAACGGTAAGACTGGTTGACATACAAGACACTATATCTACGTGCATCGAAACGTCAGCACAGTCTACTAGACAGGATGTGCCACCAAGGCCTAAGTCTAGAATTTCAATAACTAAAGAGTCCAATGGTCCACCTCATACACATCAAAATACTGATAGATATAGTAATGACATCCGACAGATACAAAACTCTCTATCCGAAATTAACGGCAAACATGCGCAACTAACACCCCTCACCCATGTGTGGGACCTCGACACAGACAAAAATCTTAAGCAACTCACTAAATCTGAGTGTATTTTGGAGTTTGCGGCTCAAGAAGTGACGAAGAGAGTGATGTCCCCTCCAATGCAGTTGTGTATTTCCTCCCCGACCGCAGACACCCATCTAAGTTAAGGGATATTTGCCTTGGAGCATGCGGTATGCCGAACGTTAATTGCAAAGTCATCCGACTTAGAAAAACGTCTGACGGATCAACTTGCCCCCTCCTGTTTATGTTTGTCTGTTGTAACGACGCTAAAAACTTTATTGATTTGAGCAAAAATATTAGCTCACTAATTCCATACAAAAATGTAAAAGTCACTCCAGACCTTACGTCCTGTCAACGTCGTGTGAGAAGACGTGAAGCGATAGAATTGAATGGGAGTGTTTCAGTTAACAATCAGCCAGACACAGTTTGCAACACAGCAAATAGTTTAAAACACACGAACAATAAGCATGACACGACTTCACATACAGCTGATCACTCTGTTGATCTAGATGTGTCTGCTGATCAGAAACATTTGGATAAGATACGAACCCCATTTGTCACCAAAAACCATGACGACATGACTGATACCGGCTGTTCGCTCAGTAATGTACTAAGATGTGAGTCCTGTGACAACTCACATTCAACTAAACCTATACACTTGAAAATAAGTTCTCCTAAAGATATTTCATAAGTAGACTTGAATGATCCTGAGTTCATCTCACAGAGACAACGAAAGTCTCCAGCTCTGACAATAAAGGGTGAGAAGATAAGACACACGAAGCCGAATATGGAAACATGTAAGATTGAACGTAACAGTGGACAGGTTCACCCCGCTGCTATCGTATAACTTGCCTTCAACACCTCTAAGTTGCAAAATGGGTGGTGGTCCTCAGTGTAACAAGCGTTCGTACACGCAGACTAATGCGAACTATCAGAGAACTAGCGATCCAAATCGCCTCCTTAAGCCTGAAACCATTAATATGAATGTTAATAATAGATTTCCAACTCCACACTCTATGTACATTCCCCAGGATCACAACTGTAAATACTTTCAGAAAGAAAACTTTTTACGGCTTTTAGTACCAACTCATCACATAAAAACGGCTCCCACGTATAATGGCAGTCGCAACTCCTTCCAGTTACGCGCAGCATACCCTTCTCTTGCAAACGTAATTAGCCGTAACAGAGGCAACGAATCTAACGACCAAGACTATTTTTCAGGTAACCGTACACTTCGCAGTAGGCCTGTACAAGATTTTTCTAGAATAAGAACCCTAGTGACACCTCTGTTTAAACATATAGCCCAAGTTATTTCAAACCACATGTAAACCACTAATTTGTTTCCTCCGTACAATTTCCATCAGAGAGTACTCCCACCCTTTCCTCTTAGGTAAACTCCCCAATCATTTTCACTAGCTCATTTGATACATCTCCCACTAAGTCTGGCTATCAAAATACCGAGATAATGAAGAACACTCAATCCCTCACTTCAGAGTCCACACTAATTCAGCATTCAAATTCAACGTAATGTATTTGACATAGTATAATATTTGAAAGTATTTAAATTATCGTATGAACTAGGAATACCAGAAATAACGCAACTGAATCAAGAATTATGATACAAGCACAAACGGATGTATTGTATTTGGAATTCAAAATCGAGCATTGAACATGTACAAAGGTATCACTAGTTCGTTCAAACACCAAAAATAGTCGACTACATTCTTTTTAGATCAATAAATAATATACAATCATCTATCAGCTAACACACCATCAAAAAGTTACGAACCGTTGTTCAGCACATCTGACACATTCCTCATGTCTAATATTTTCACCACCACGATGTATGTTGCCAGACGTAAGCTCACGTGGTTTCAGCACCAAATATTACTATTACTTATACTGTGACTACTAATTCTGCTAATATCATTACCTCTAGTACTATGATCAACACTACTTCAGCATTATCGGTCCACTACATCGGTCCCATTCACCAAATTCGGTCACAAGAATGCTAGAACCCGATGTTTTTATCATCAGTCTGATATTGAATAAATTGACGTTTCATTCTGTCTACCTCATTCTCCTTCCAAGTACGTCAAAACAGAAAAGATCGGTAATCAAAATGTGATCCATATACTGTTTCACTGAAATTTACATTCACCAAAGTGCATAACAACTGAGGAAATCATCATTAGATGCACTCGCCGTAGTTGTCAATAACACTGGATTTAAAGACACTTTTGGGAAACGGGATACAACTACACAAGCATCAAAACATCGTGACACTTATATTCACATATAAACTAGAAATATATACAGGTGAAGGAAAAGGTGACAACAGTAGAACTGAAATGTTTCCTCATTAGATTATTACCAGCCTTGAGTCAATTGACATTATTCTACGAACAACGGTAGGGATGTGTCGGTGTAGATGGAAGAACAACGAGAATGAGATGATATTAGGAATGACATTGACCGATATACTACAGATCATGTCACATATGACTATGAGCAGCGCTAAACATTTTCAGAAATGACCAATTCTGAATTCAACCTCAGATCTGTGACATCAACTTGATAGGGCAGATTGATCTATTGATTGAAAATGAGCAACGTAAATTAGCATAAACGAGACCCGGTATTACTTCTTTTTATATCACACACATTCCAAATACACATTAGTTGTCAAGGTCAACTAATGGTAGGACATTAATTGTTCATTATAAACAAAGAACTTGCTCACAAAGTATTTTCACTCGTAGTGCACCGCTAGAAGCAGAACAATAATTAGTAATCTATGGAAATCGATTAAATGAAGGTTTAGGTAAACGGAGTAAAATTTTACATAAGGTAAAGAGAGAGAAAATTAACATCGTACAAAAAGCATGACATTTTGGCAATACTCTAGTCCATAAAATGACTGAAGGATAGTCAGGGCAAAATCAAGAGTATGACAAATTGCGTTTTTTCTTATAAGTGGTTTGTATTCACGGATGACTGAAGATTCCATCAACCTAAAAAGCAGTCTTTCACAATTTCTTTACTGCGTTTTAAAGCGGTACTGATTTCAATTCTGTGCCTCATTTCAATTATGTGCTATTCTATCTATGAATATAGTCTTCTACTTTCCATGTTTATCGGAACAGTTGGAATTAACTGACTTTCAGGCCACCTTGGTACATGTTTCATAATACTTGATTGCATTGATCGATTACCCCTCTCCATGTATGAGTGTTTACACATAAACGTTAATTAGTCGATGCAGTGAGATGTTATGTAATCGCTCGTATAATCTCTGGGTCACATTGGAGTTGAGCGCTCAGCGCTTGCAATCATGACCTGCTTTGCGAGCACAATATGTTTCCTCGATTGCTGATCATAGTCTATGTCATCAACATCATCATCATCATCCAAATCATCATCATCATCATCATCATCATCATCATCCAAATCATCATCCAAATCATCATCATCATCATCATCATCATCATCCAAATCATCATCCAAATCATCATCATCATCATCATCATCATCATCATCATCATCATCCAAATCATCATCCAAATCATCATCATCATCATCATCCAAATCATCATCATCATCATCATCATCACCATCATTAAAAGACTGTTAGATTCACCTCATAACTGTAGAAAGTTATGATCAGTTTCCATCAGCAGAGAATTAAATAGAGTTTAGTGAATCAGTCAGGACAATCGTCATCTTATCCTCTCATCTCAACATTTCCATACAACTCCTCGAGAACAGTTTACCATTTTATACGAATATTCGTCAAGATTAGAACGAATAGTTCGACAGTAATTAAGCGCCGAGTATAGAGAAGTCAATATACCATTTTGTTAGTATTAATTATAACGCATTTCGATCAGATGGCAAGAATTCTCTCACAGTACTAATTGGTCAAACCATATTGATATCCATATGACGTGGAATTCAGTGGAAAGCTTCCTAGCATAAATGTATTGAAATATGACGACATCCACATCAGAACGAAACACCTTCGTTTTAAACACTTGTTGTTACAATGATCAACAACATTGAAATAAGAATATCGCTAACAAATCTAAAATACTGTCATAACATCTTGAAAATAACTGACACAGTGCTCTATCGAAATAAGAATAATATTCAATGTGCTTCACTCATTTAACTTCGATTTGATGATTTCAAGGTGCTTCTTCATACTCCGATTATGTGATTATATGATTTCTTGTGTTCGCTATTGTCATCTGATCTGACGTGCATACTGTTTTCTTTTTTGATTGATCATTAACTGAGAAAACAATTTCATTTGTTTTGAAGAGTCATATATTTACTCAAAAATATTATGTGTCGTTATATTGCTTTTAAGTTGTTATTGATGCTGACGAAATCACTTATGCAGGTTACCCACACATCAGCAGCCACCAACCAACTCTCTTCTGGACAGTCCCTTCCATCCTCTTCTCGTCTGCTTCCGAGTCTCTGTTCAGTGTGTTATTTGGCCTTACTCCTTTCACTTTCACCTCAGAATTCCATGTAGGCGCTTGCCTCACGATGCAGCAGAACTAACTTGCGTGTTGTTCGTGTTGAAACTTCTGACTTTGGTCGTGCTTTATCACTGGAAAGCTGTCTGGTAAATTTCGCTTATGTTCAGTTACTTAGAAGAATAAACGTTTGTTGGTTAAGTAGAGAACTACATTAGAATATGAAACATGGAAATTCGCAAAAGGTTTTTCGCAAAATTCAGAATGTACATGTTCAACGTTGTGATTATGAAAATGAAACCGACCAGCTAAATTGATTGAAAATTTCAACTGAGAAATAGCATGAATTACAATTTCAAAGTCACAAAATGTCCATTTCGCTTATGAGAAATTTGAGGGTTCATAGAGTTGACGCGATGGAAGTATAGAATTGTCGACAGTACTCTTCTGTTTGTCTTCTTATCATTGCACTACCACATCTTTAAATGTTGTTGAAATCAATATGTTTATATGATAAAATTCGCATATTCATCTGTCTTCTCACTTTTATCATCCTCGTCAATTTAAATCAAAGAATAATCGTTTGCTCTGCGTTTGATTAAGAGTGAAGACAAGTTATTGCAGATTGGATAGTTTGTTTTGTAATCTAGCAACAAATGTGTTATTCAAATAATTCTCAAATCATGAACGAAAAATGCATTCGAACATTATGTGTCACTGTTTATAAAAACCTATATCATTTTGATAATATTTGTAGTAGTTCTCTTAGTCCCCGTTATGTAGAGCAGAACCAACTGTCTTGATGTTCGCATTGAAAATTGTGACTTGGGTTGACAGTTTTTTTGAGTTGCATAAATTCTTCAACCGTAGGTTGAGTTCGTATTCTCTGAGTTGTACTTGGGAGTCTTGCTGTTTCTTGCTGCGATCACTGTGATGGTCTTGTGTGTATGGGATTGAGGTTTCAGATAACCCGTCATGTCCAAGCTTTCTTGTTGATTCTGACATGTTGGTTGCATCCCGCGCTTGCCCTCACATGTCGTGATATTAATGATGTATTTGACAGAAGAAAGAGCAAACGAGATTGTGAGCACCCTTGTTTTGCTCCGGAATTTACTTGCGATGCTCCTTTCAGCTCTACTGCATGCATCACTTCTCAATGCAGTGCACTTGTTAATCGCAGATGATGACGACCATCTCATTTTCGACATAACGTGGAAGAAGATTGCGTAAACTTCTTCTATCCGCGCTGTCGAATTCTAAGTTGTGTCATCTGGTCTTTTCATACTTCCATCTCCGCTGTTGTTGTTTAGTCTCCACGTACTTCTGCTTTTCACCTCTGATGCTCTTTTTCACCCATTAGTCAGCCTTATTATATATTCAGCTTGTGACTAGATTTTTTCTCCTCTTTTTCACTTGTTGTTAATTGCTGTCTTCTTGTTTGTTCAAGATTGAATCTTGTTCAGCGTTTGCATAGATAGCAATTCCCTATGATGATGCTTGTTGTGGCCCAGCATATATTGACAAGTCGACTTTAGTGCTTCTTTGATCCGTCATCAATTGTCTTCCATATTAATTTCCTTCTCTATCAGTAGATCTTGTAAAGCTTGGAACCTGTTGTTAAGACCTACGTTGAGTCGATGCACTTTGTCAATGTATCGAAGAATGTCTCTACTGAACCTCTGCCATGATGTTTCTCAGTGGTCTAGTGCTTGTTTAGCTTCAGTTTCATCTTAGTATCCACCACGTGTTTATGTTAAGCTAAGCCGAATGCTCTCCTGGTTCTCACGTCTCCCATTGTCTTTCTCAATATTTTAGTTATGTAGCTATGATCCATCTGGTTCTCGGATGTGATTCGATAAAACGCATGTAGTTTTGTGTATGTCTTTATGAGAAAACTTTGTGCGTTCCATAGCTATAACAATTTGTAGGTCTGTCACCATTCTCGTTCCTTTCTCTCAGACAGTCCATGTAGTCTGATGATGTCTTCATGTCCAGTGTTCTCCATTCCAACATTGACGTTTGGTTGCCATCAGGATTGTTAGGTTAGTTCTTGAGGACGTCTTCATGTTGATTGCACACCTCATGAAGCTAATGTTTGCTGTTGTCGTCGTTTTCATTGGTGGATGCACGATGTCGGATAATTATCGTTGTGTTCCCCTCCTTCCTTGTTTCGAAAGATACTTTGATGAGGCTGGATCCGTAAAATTCGTACTCAATAAGTGCATATCGTGCATTTGATTTATATTTATAAAACAAAATCACACAGTTATCATTCTTAATGAAACGATTGTCGACATGAGTCTCATAGGTATAGCACAAATGTTATAAAACAATTTACAAATTAGTCTTGAATTTCTGTGAATACAGTAGAAATTAAGTGAAAAACTAAGGTTAATCTTAGATTAGTAGGGCGATTCACAAGAGTAATATTGTTCATACATAGTCAATGAAAATACATCAGTTCAGGTTTATGAGCAGAAGATTACCTGTTTTCCTAGTGTTTTCTACAAAGTGACCAGTAAGCTAGCAAACATGTTTGATTTCTTCACAAACCAGTTATCTATTTCACAGGTGATTTACGCAACAGTGCTACCAGATTTTACTAAAAAGTTAATTATTTTCAAACCTCATTGTGGCATTTTATATTTATTTAAGAAATTGCGATAACAGTGGCTGCAAACCATGTGAAGTTTTGCAAATGTAGCGATCACGTATTGTGAGGTAGCAGATGGTGTTGTACAAGTAAATTACAATCATTTAACATATCCATCGTAACGCATGTCAATAAATTTGTTATTCCAATTAAGAAAACAAAAATCATTCAAGAATACGTTGTTATTGCCAAGTGACAGATAAAATATCAGTAGGCTCGGAAAGATACAGCAGAAACAACAAGATTCCGAAGCACAACTCAGAGAATACGAACTCAACCTACGGTTGAAGAATTTATGCAACTCAAAAAAACTGTCAACCCAAGTCACAATTTTCAATGCGAACATCAAGACAGTTGGTTCTGCTCTACATAACGGGGACTAAGAGAACTACTACAAATATTATCAAAATGATATAGGTTTTTATAAACAGTGACACATAATGTTCGAATGCATTTTTCGTTCATGATTTGAGAATTATTTGAATAACACATTTGTTGCTAGATTACAAAACAAACTATCCAATCTGCAATAACTTGTCTTCACTCTTAATCAAACGCAGAGCAAACGATTATTCTTTGATTTAAATTGACGAGGATGATAAAAGTGAGAAGACAGATGAATATGCGAATTTTATCATATAAACATATTGATTTCAACAACATTTAAAGATGTGGTAGTGCAATGATAAGAAGACAAACAGAAGAGTACTGTCGACAATTCTATACTTCCATCGCGTCAACTCTATGAACCCTCAAATTTCTCATAAGCGAAATGGACATTTTGTGACTTTGAAATTGTAATTCATGCTATTTCTCAGTTGAAATTTTCAATCAATTTAGCTGGTCGGTTTCATTTTCATAATCACAACGTTGAACATGTACATTCTGAATTTTGCGAAAAACCTTTTGCGAATTTCCATGTTTCATATTCTAATGTAGTTCTCTACTTAACCAACAAACGTTTATTCTTCTAAGTAACTGAACATAAGCGAAATTTACCAGACAGCTTTCCAGTGATAAAGCACGACCAAAGTCAGAAGTTTCAACACGAACAACACGCAAGTTAGTTCTGCTGCATCGTGAGGCAAGCGCCTACATGGAATTCTGAGGTGAAAGTGAAAGGAGTAAGGCCAAATAACACACTGAACAGAGACTCGGAAGCAGACGAGAAGAGGATGGAAGGGACTGTCCAGAAGAGAGTTGGTTGGTGGCTGCTGATGTGTGGGTAACCTGCATAAGTGATTTCGTCAGCATCAATAACAACTTAAAAGCAATATAACGACACATAATATTTTTGAGTAAATATATGACTCTTCAAAACAAATGAAATTGTTTTCTCAGTTAATGATCAATCAAAAAAGAAAACAGTATGCACGTCAGATCAGATGACAATAGCGAACACAAGAAATCATATAATCACATAATCGGAGTATGAAGAAGCACCTTGAAATCATCAAATCGAAGTTAAATGAGTGAAGCACATTGAATATTATT